CTGTGGCCCACCATCTCTGTGGCCACCTGCACAATATTTCTGTCTGGGCCTCAGTTTTTGCATCTGTCAAAATGGGACAGGGCATATAGTGATAGGATCAACCTCACAAAGTTGCTCTAAGAATGAACTGAGGTCAACTGTGTGATGTTTTAGAAGAGTGCCCAGCACATGGCAAACAGGTCAGTGAATGGAGGCGTTGGGGCATTTGTACTTTTCTCACTACTACCTTGCAGCATTGTTGCAAAGATTCAGCAAGTTCCCATCCTTCAGGGTTTGAGTAGGCTCATTATCAGAAACTATCAGTATTGGCCTTGTACTCTGCTCCTTCCCCGCTTACTAATTTGACTGAGAGCGATTGGAACCCATCGATGACAGCACCAGTGTTCCCTCTTGTGTTTCTTGAGTGCCCACCAGGCCAGGCCCCGAGCCAAGCCTATGCCAGGCGCCCCTCTCTGCATTTTCACTTCCATCATACAGAGTGATAACTCAAGTTCACACAGCAAGGTCATGGCTCAGCCATCCCATTGGCAGCAACTGCTTTTGCTGAGACATATCTGAGAGTTCCCTAAGTGTGTTCCCTTCCCCAGCCTGACCTGGTCATGCTTTTGCCCGGACAGCCTCAATGGCTCCTACTCACCCATCAGACCTGGAATGGGGACCCACCAGTCGTCACTAGGTGATTGAGCAAGCTGCTTCCCCTCCCTGACCCTTGGTTTCTCCTGCTGTAACATGGGTTGACGACAGGACCTCCAATATGGTGAAGAGCAGGGAGCCAGGGGCTGAAAAGCCCTCCTTTGTTAGCACCAGCTGTTAAGTGGCTGCTCCCACACTGCCTGTCTGGCTGCCATTTAGCTGACACAGAAACTTGTGGTGCTCCTTCATTTCTCCTCCACCGTCCTTACCAGTCTCACCTCCTGTCATATGGTAGAAATATGCTCCTCTCTTTTCCCTTCATACTTGTAATCATTTTGAGTTTTTATGTGTTTGCATGACTAATCTACATGGAATTGTTTTGCTATGTATAGGGGGTAGAATTAACTTTATTTCCTTCCAAATGCAGTCAAGTCTACTGACTGAGTTATCCTTTCTCTGCCAACTGGAAATTCCACATTTGGGATGTATTAAATTCTTTTATGCATGAAATTTGTAAATTAATTTTTAGCCTTGGCTGGTGTGGCTCAGTGGACTGAGTACTGGCCTGCGAACCAAAGGGTAGCAGGTTCCAACCCGGTCAGGGCACATGCCTGGGTTGCATGCCAAGTAGGGGGCATGCAAGAGGCAACAACACATTGCTGTTCTCTCCCTCCCCCTCTCTGTAAAAATAAATACATAAAACCTTTAGAAATAAATTAATTAAAAAAATATGCATACCTGGAAAACTCTGGGCTGCATTCTAATTTTCAGTCTTAGCCATACATTTGACCCTTGAACAACATGGGAGTTGGGTGTGTTGACACCCCACATGGTGGATGATCTGTGTGTGACTTTTGACTGCCCCAAAATTTAACCACTAATAGCCTGCTGTTGACCAGAAGCCTGATCGATAGCAAGCAGGCAATTGACACAAATTTTGTATTTTATGTGCATTACATACTGTATTCTTACAATAAAGTAAGCTAGAGAAAAGAAAACATTATCAAGAGAATCACAAGGAAGAGACAATACATTTATGGTACTGTACATATTTATTGAAAAATATCCACATAAGTGGACCTGCACAATTCAGACCCATTTTGTTCAGGGATCAACTGTATACATGGATTAGGTGTGCTGATTATTCATTCAACAAACACTGAGTGCCTATTCTATGCCAGGTGCATGCTGGGTACTGGGGACACTGCCACGGACAAAACAAAAATATGAATGCCTGCCCTTGGGCATGGGGGCAGAGAACAATCAATGCATAAATGTGTGACATGTCAGGTGGTGGTAAGAAACAAAATAAAGTAAGGTTATTTAATGGCGGGGAACAGGCTGCTGGTTTAGGTAGGATGGTCAGGAAAACCTCTTCCAGGGCGTGCCCTTTGAGCCAAGGCCTGAGGAGGTAGAGCCATGTGGATTTCTTGGGGAAGAGCTTAGTAGGTGAAGGGAGTAAGCACAAAGGTCCTGAATGGAGACTATGCCTGGTGAGTTTTCAGTGTAACCAGGAGGCCAGGGAGGCTGGAATGAAATGAACAAAGCTGAGAGAGGGAGGAGGTGAGGGCCCCCCCCTGAGGGGACAGCGCCCCTGGGCTGTAATGAAGAGCGCGGCTTCTCCTCCGAGTGAGGTGGGAGCCACGGGGGTGTGGGGGGCCGGGAGGGGGGTTTCCGGCAGAGGAAGGATGTGCCCTGACTTGGGTGTTTACAGGCTTCTCTGGCCACGGTGGGAGCACAGTGGGGGCGCATAAGGGTGGGAGCTGAGAGACCAGGGTGGAGACACCTGCATTGGTTCAGGCAAGAGACGACAGCTGTGTGACAAGGGTTTGAGCCAAGGAGTGAGGGAGAAATGGTTGGATACTGAGTAGATTCTGAAGGTTGAGCTGACGTTAAGCAGAGAGACATCCCAGGTTTCTGTCCTGAGCGCTTTGTAAGACCGCTGCCATTTTTGAGTTGAGGCAGGTCAGGGGACCATCTGGTAGGGACTGGATGTGGCGGTGCTGAGTGGGAGACACCCATGAGAGCCCTATGTGCGGCACTGGGAGACAGGTGTCTCAGGAGCGTGAAGCTTGGGGGCCAGGCCCTCCCCAGGGACTGCCATTTAGGAATCGTCAGGATGGAGTTGGTGGAAGTCCTGAGTCTCCACGAGTGACTCCAAGGGACTGAGTGTATCTGGGAAGAGAAGAAGCTGCGGCCTGAATACTGCCCTGACTGCAGGGAGTGGGACTAGCTGGCTTCGCAGCCAGGGACCTCAGGAACCACATGACGTCTTTAGGAGGCCTGGTTACTCCAGGCCATCGCTCGGAGCCTTGGACCTTGCCTGTTTGCTGAAGCCTGGGCCAGGGGTCAGGTGGGGCCTCCACAGCTGTAGGCCACCAAGGAGAGATGACCTTTTTTTAGGAATGCTGAGTTAGTGGTCAGATGGGGTAGGAGTGAGGGTGGTGATGGGGACTGGGAGGCAGCAGCTGTAATTACTGAGCACCGGGTGTATGTGACCACACTGAATAATCCCATGCTAACTGTGTACCCCACGCTGAATATACAGGATCCGGCAGAAGTAACGCCATTGAGCGTGGTGGGTGGGGCACGTGAACGTTTCACATGAGATGGACAGCAGTTTGAACATTTCACCTAAGATGTCACATGGTTTACTTGAGTGTGATATTGCTGTGTTACAGAATTACATGCTTACGATTTTGTAATAAAAAGATTTTTATGGGGCCTGGCTGGTATATAGCTCAGTGGATTAAGCGCAGGCCTGCGAACCAAAGCATTGCCGGTTTGATTCCCAGTCAGGGCACATGCCTGGGTTGCAGGCCATATCCCCAGTATGGGGTGTGCTAGAGGCAACCATACACTGATGTTTCACTCCCTCTTTCTCCCTCCCTTCCCCATCTCTCTAAAATAAATAAATAAAACCTTTAAAAAACAAAGATTTTCATGTGATTAAAAAGGGGCGTTATTTGTGTGGACCCTGTATATTTCCGCTGACTGTACTCCATGCTAACTGTATATGGTTAACTGTACTATGAAGTATACAACTGGCCCCCGTGGCTGTTGGGAGATGCAGTCAGATTGAGGGAGTACATGGGGGTATACATGGGGGTGGATGGTTGGTGTTGAGGTACAGCCGGCTGACTTTGCACCCTCTGCGAATTGTATACCCCCAGAAAGGCTGTACAACTTCATGCTGACTGTACACCTCCACCCTACTGTAAACCCCACATTGATTAAACACCCCATGGCAGTTGTCTACCTCCGTGTCAGCTCTACGACTCCACACAGACTGTATAATGCCACTCTGACTATGCCCCATGCAGTGTCCCCACACCTGCTGTGTGCCCCACATTGGTTGAACAACCACACTGACAACACAGCAGGTCCATTCCCACTGGAAGCCCCACACCTTCTGGCACCTCCTGGCATCCCATGCCTGCGCTTCGACCAGTTTGGGTTTCATCCTTCAGCTCCGTTTCACAGTTGAGGAAACAGGCTCAAGGAAGGCAAGGCACACTGGCCTCGGTGTCTTCCTGCTCAGTGGGACAGAAGGAACATTTAAAGCCAGGGTCACCCAGTAAGACATTGGCTGCTCCCCAGGACACAAAAGATTGGGTCTTGCTGAGAGCAACCCACTGTACCTGGTGTCCACCCCAGGGCCTGTGCCTGGGAGGGGCTCAGTAAATGCGCGCTCTATAAAAAATGGCTTCTGAACTCATGATTGTGAGATGTGCAGGGGTGATGAGCTCAGGTGTGTGGCTTTGGGTCCACAAAGGGACCAGCTGGGGACAGTGCCAGGCAGGAATGTGCTATGGGGTCTGCTGGCCCCGATTCTCCAGATTTCGAGAAACAGGCCGTGCGGATTTTTATATGGATTCTCCCCAATGTTTAACTGATGGCATTTAATTTTTCAAAAATGCAGTCCCAAATGAAATGCATCCACTGGTTTGAGAATTTTCAGCTCAAGTACTTTACAGTTGGGTGTTTGGGGTCAACCATCTGCCGATTTTGCAGCCCCCCACCCCCATCCGGGGTCTAGAAATCGACCTCCTTGTGCCTCGGTTTCCATACCTAGAGAATAGGGGGACATTAGACGCCCTTCAGGGTTGAGAGGTGTGTGACCTAGTGAGGGGTTGGGGGGGCCAAGGGCCAGTGTGAAGGCACAGGGTTCCCCGCGTGGGGGCTGGGGAGGGGGCGGGGAGGGCTAAATCCGTCCGCCCGTTGAGTGGCAGGAGCAGCTGCCGCCCCGCCCGTCCTCTTCGCCCTCCCTCTGTCGGGTCGGTTGTTTGGCAGCTGCTCAGCTAGGGCCGGTCTGACTGGTTTGGGCTAACCCCGCCCGGCTCCTTGTCGGGAGGAGCTGCCGCCTGTTAGTCCTGCGGTCCCTCCCTCGGGACGCCCACGCGGCCAGACCCTTGAGCTGAAGGGGCACAGGAGCTGGCAGGCGGACGCAGGGATGGGGGGCGAGCAGCAGCATTACTACGGGAAGCACGGTAGGCAGCCCTGCTCCTGCACCCCGGCCTGGCCACTAGGCGGGAGCAAAGGGAATGCCGATCTCTGTAGCCACCCCCTACCATCACCTGCCGGCAGCCCTAACCCCAGTCTTACTCTCGAGAGTCTCTCACAGGTCCCTCCAAATCCCATCACTCGAAGGGCCGTTCTTGAAGCCCTCTCCCCAGTACTCCTGTGGGGTTTCCACCTTGGACTCTCCATTTTTTACCTAGTCCCCTCCCCAGTGGGTGGCCTCCACTGATAAATCCAATTAGCAACTCCTCCCCCCAGCGCCCCCGCCCACCCCCTCTCCCTCTGCTTGGGGCTTGGGTGAGGCAGATCTGCAGTGTCTCTGAAATGACTCCTGGGGCCAAAGATACCCCTAGGAGCCATCTGGGAGAAGGTAGTCTCCCAGCCCCTTCTTGGCCCACCCACCTCTATGTTGCTGATTTTCAGGAACTCCACAGAAGTATGACCCCACCTTCAAAGGACCCATTTACAACAGGTAAGGGCTCTGGGTTCTCTGGGACAGAGGGGGTGTTGTGGCTAATACTGTCCCACCCGTTTCCTCATACTCCATCAGTTCTCCAACAAACTGTAATAAATTATTTGCGATTTGACGACAAAAAGCTTTCCAAAATATACAGAGTCCTTACAAGCAAATTAAAAAAAACTCAGGCAACATACTGGGACAGGAAATAGACAATGAAGTTATGGAAAAATGTTCAAAGTTACTGGAAAGTAATGTAATTTAAAACAATAACCAAATAGAATTTTCTATCACAGATTTGCAAAGATCAAGTAGACTGGCACATGTTCTGCTCTGAAAATAATTCTTGTGGCTTTTTAGAGGGATTTTGGAAATATGAAAATTTTATTTTATTTTTTTTAAGGATTTTATTTATTGCCCTGGCTGGTGTGGCTCAGTGGATTGAGCACCAGCCTGCAAACCAAAGGGTCATGGGTTTGGTTCCCAGTCAGGGCACATGCCTGGGTTGCGGGCCAATGTTTCTCTCCCTTTCTTTCTCCCTCACTTACCTACTTTCTAAAAATAAATACATAAAATTTAAAAAAAAATAAAGTTTTTATGTATTTATTTTTAGAGAGGGGGAAGGGAGGGAGACTGAGAGGGAGACCAGCATCACTGTGTAGTTGCCTCTTGCACGCCCCTTACTGGGGACCTGGCCCACAACCCAGGCATGTGCCTTGACTGGGAATCAAACCGGCGACCTTTTGGTTTGCAGGCCAGCACCCAATCCACTGAGCCACACCAGCCTGGGCAAAATATGAACATTTTAAATGTGCAGCTTTTTGTTCCAACAGTTAAAATTTAAAGAAAAATAATTTTTATAAACCTTTCATACATGGACAAAAATGTATGAAATAGCTGTCTTTTTCAAAATGGCAAAAATCCAAGTATCTGAATGTCTATCCATTCCAGCTGGTTAGCTAAGTTGCACTGGTTCCTTAGGTTATACCGTTACACAGTTGAGACGTGCAAGAGTTCTAAATGATGATATGGGTCCATGGGTCCCTCAGTATATTGAGCAAAAAAAGCAAGACGTGGAACAGTGGGCATTTCCTATCAGAGTCAAGGAAGAAAAAAAATTTTAACATTGGTACCTAATAAATAACACAAAGGACTCACATGAAATCATTAACAGGTTATTTATGGGCAGGGGTATGTGTGTGGGAGGGAGACTTATTTCTTTCTTGTATACATTCCCATTTTGTGGTTTTAATTTTTACCATGTTCACATTTTTTTACTATGATCATATTTAATCTTTTTTTTAAGATTTTATTTATTCGTTTTTAGAGAGAGGGGAAGAGAAGGAGAGAGAGGGAGAGAAATATCAATATGTGGTTGCCTCTCATGTGCCCATACAGGGGACCTGGCCTGCAACCCAGGCTTGTGCCCTGACTGGGGAATTCAACTGGCGGTCCTTTGGTTTGCAGCCTGTGCTCAATCCACTGAGCTACACCAGCCAGGGCTGATCATATTTAATCTTATAAAAATAGTTTTAAAAAATAAATATTTATTTACTTTTTAGAGAGAGGAGAAGGGAAGGAGAAAGAGAAGGAGAGAAACATTAATGTGTAGTTGCCTCTCACAGCCTGTGCTCAATCCACTGAGTTACACCAGCCAGGCAAAAAAACAGTTTAAATTTTTGAAAACACGAATAGGTAATGCTGGCAAAGAGGCGGGAAAATGGATACTTTCAATCAGAAGAACAGTGCACATTGCTGCAACCTGCTTTGAGGACAGTATAGTATTAGGCATTAAAATCTAAAATGTATGTGCCCTTTGGTATAACATTTGCATAACCCAGGAGCATGTATCCAAATAACACATAGTTGTGAGTGTGTGTACAGGGTTCAGTGGGTCTGTGAGGCCCTGGCCCTATAGCTCAATTGGTTAGAACAGCAGTCCCCGACGTTTTTGGCACCAGGGACTGGTTTCATGAAAGACAGTTTTTTCCACAGACCAGGGGTGGGAGGGGGTTGTTTTGGGGATGATTTAAGTGCATTACATTCAAGCTCACCTCCTGCCGTGCAGCCCAGTTCCTGACAGGCAGTGACCAGGGGTCCACAGCCCAGGGGGGAAGGTGGGGACAGGTTGGAGACCCCTGGATTAGAGCATTGTCTCTATAATGCCAAGGTTGCGGGTTCCATTCCCCCATCAGGGTATGATACTCAGGACACCAAGGCTCCCACCCTGACATTGTCCCTTACTCCCAGGGGCTGCACGGACATCATTTGCTGTGTGTTCTTCCTCCTGGCCATTGTGAGCTACGTGGCTGTAGGGGTCATAGGTGAGTAGAGAAGGGGACAGGACTTGGGGTTCCAGGGCGAGTGGGCAAGCGACAGCCTCTGGGAGAGGAGTGGGGCTGGTGCCGAGGAGCGGCAGGCAGTGCCTTAGCACCTCCGCATTCCTCCGTAGCTTGGACCCATGGAGACCCTCGCAAGGTGATCTACCCCACTGATAGCCGAGGCCAGTTCTGCGGGCAGAAGGGCACGAAAAATGCGTAAGTCTGGCTCCTGGGGGCCTGATGGGTCTGGTGAGGAATGGGCAGGAGGGCTTCTCCCACCTCCATCCACCCATTAGTTAGTCCAATCGACAGATATTTATAAAACTCCCACCAGCCCCAGCCACTGTACTAGGCCTTGGGGACAGCATTAAATGAGACATTAAGAGTCTTGTCCTCTCGAGGCCCATGTTTTATGGGAGAGACAGGGAGGAGACAGTATCAGATCCAATGTGAGGTGGTCGTGAGAAGCTGAGGTCAAAGAGGGAATTCTTTTACTTCACCTGTAAAAGTGAGGGTTACACCACTCTCTGGCTGTGTGACCTAGTGCAAGTGTCTGAACCCCTCTGGGCCTTATTTTCCCATCTCCAAAATGGGGATTATGATAGTCCCATCATAACAGGGCTGTTGTGATGGTTAGATGAGCCTGTGTGTGTGTGTGTGTGTGTGTGTGTGTGTGGGTGGGTGTGCGCGTGTGTGCAGAGCTTAGAACAGCACCTGCTGTGGAATTGCTGCCGTTGTAGTTATTGCTATTAGTTTCATGGAGATATTTCATGTAAGGTGGTTGAGTTTCCATCTCTGTTCCCCAACCCCAGGAACAAACCCTTCCTGTTTTATTTCAACATTGTGAAGTGTGTCAGTCCCCTGGTCCTGCTGGAATTCCAGTGTCCCACCCCCCAGGTAACTTGTCCCCTCCCCATCCCTTCTCTGTACCCCATTTCTATCACCAGGTCCTTTTTCCCTGTAGTAATAGCTTCTGACCCCACCCAACCATGCCTCTTGCCCCCTCTCCCTCCAAGATCTGCGTGGAGAAGTGCCCGGACCGATACCTGACCTACCTGAATGCTCGCCATTCCCAGGACTGGGAGTACTACAAGCAGTTCTGCATGCCTGACTTCCAGGACAACAAGGTGAGGGGAGCCTAGGCAGGGCCAGGTAGAGGGTGCTGGTCTGGGGATTAACTGCCCCCGTCTCTTAACAGGGTCTAGCTGAGGTGCTTCGGGATGGCGACTGTCCCTCCGTCCTCACTCCTAGCACACCCTGTGAGTCTGGAGTCCTGTGAGCTTGGGTGGGGTGCAGGGAGGTGTCAGGGGCTCAGCTTGACGGCTCTCCCATCCTCTGTTCCGTGCAGTGGCCCAGCGATGCTTGCCAGCCATCCACGCCCACAAGGGGGTCCTCATGGTGGGCAATGAGACAACCTATGAGGATGGGCACGGCAATCGGAAAAACATCACTGAGCTGGTTGAAGGCGCCAAGTGAGGACTGAGGCCCACCACACTGGCGTTATGCTTTCCTGGGAGGGAGAGGGCATCCCCTGGGGCTGGACCGGTCGGGGGGGGCGGGTCTGACACTACCTGGTCTGCCCCAGGAATGCCAATGGGATCCTGGAGGCTCGGCAGCTAGCCATGCAGATATTTGAAGATTACACAGTCTCCTGGTACTGGATCGTCATGTAAGATGGGAGGGACAGTGTCCTTTCTTGGGAGGGGCAGTCTGAGGCTGGTGAGAAGGTGAGGCCTGCTCATGCTCCTATTTTGTTCCCCAGAGGCCTGGTCATTGCCATGGTGTTGAGCCTCCTGTTCATTGTGCTCCTCCGTTTCCTGGCTGGCATTATGGTCTGGGTGATGATCGTCTTGGTGATTCTGGTGCTGGGCTATGGTGCGTTTTCCCTGACTTCCTACTTCTGTCCCTGTAGTTCGAAAGACGCTCATTCCCTTTGACCTGGCACTGGTCCTTCAAGACTCCTCTCCTAAGCCATCAGACGTCCTCTGTCTTTCACGTGGCAGATTTGTGAAGATGTTCATGTTGGTGCCATTTATGACAGCAGATACTGGAAAACAATCTCAGTACCCTTTCTGGGGGCATGAGTTAAATCATAGTCTTCCAAACCGGGGCCCGAGTCTGCATTTTATTGACACCAAAAGGCATTTGCAAGTAGACTACTCAGGACAGTGCATGCTCTGTCACCAGGAAGCTGGGGGTTCAAGTACTGGTTCTGCCAACTCATCACTGTGACCTTGGGCAAATGATTCAACCTCCCTGTGCCTCAATTTCTTCTTCTATAAAATGGGGATAATTAATATTTACTGGTTAGGAAGTTTAATGAGAAGAAGATAGTATGGGGAGGAGATGGGAGAGCTGAGACCTATGGAGCCCAGAGGTCAAGATCAAAACTCAGTGCTTTATATTCTGATTATTCATTTAAACTTTCCAGGAGGAAAGATGGCCGATATGCAACCTATCTGAAAATGTAGATATTAAAATATTTGTGTCATTAGTGGTTTCTAGCTGGATGCTGGCATTTGAGGCAACTAGACTTTTTTTTTTACCTTTATCTGTATTTTATAATTTCTTCTCCAATGAGCTAAGAGGAATGCTGAAATTCCCTAATGTTGCCCTACTGGGTGTCAACACCCATGCCCTTCCTACCCATAAATCACTGTAACAAAGTTGAAAAGGGGTCGGGGAAAACCTCAGGCCGCACAGCATCCTGACATTTATCCATTCATTCATCAAACATGTACTACGTGCCTACTGTCTGCCAGGCAGTTTTCTAGGTGCTGGGCTTATACCAATGAATAAAACAGGACAAAGCCTTGCTCCTGTGGAGCTTATATTCCTGGGGGTATGGGGCAGATGGACAAGAAACAAACCAGAAACCCTCTAAGATGTCAAAGCAGAGAACAGGGATAAGGAGTTGGAGTGTGAGAGGGGAAGGTTCTAGAAAGGGAAAGGGTTTCTGGAAGTTCTCGTGAGGTGACATTCAGCACAGGAGGAGGTGGAGGATCTGATGGGGAGAAAATGTACCAGGAAGTGAGGACAGCAAATGCAAAGGCCCTGGCAGGAGCAAATGGTGGCAGCCCCCTCGGCCTCTGTTTTTGCTTCTGTTAAATCAGGGTGGTTGTACCTGCTTTGCTATGTTGGGGCAGGAGTCAGTAGGCTGTAGCACGGCGATTCCTGTGTGCAGGTATATTTCACTGCTACATGGAGTATGCCCGACTGAGTGGTGAAATCGGCTCGGACATCTCCCTGGTAGACCTCGGCTTTCAGACAGACCTTCGCGTGTACCTGCATTTGCGGCAGACCTGGATGGCCTTCAGTGAGTCCCAAACCCCCATTTCTGCCTCTAGTCTGGTCTGGGGGAGAGTGGGGAGCCCAGGCAACTGGCAGACTTGGCCACTCTCTGCCCTCGACAGTGATAATTCTGAGCATCCTTGAGGTTATTATCATTGTGCTGCTCATCTTTCTGCGGAAGAGAATTCTCATTGCCATTGCACTCATCAAAGAAGCCAGCAGGTGGGTGCCAGGGTGTTGGGCTGGGGTGATCCCAGGGCTGCTTGGACCCTGATGCCCATGCCTCTGCTCCTCCCCAGGGCTGTGGGATATGTGATGTGCTCCATGCTGTACCCACTGGTCACCTTCTTCCTGCTGTGCCTTTGCATCGCCTACTGGGCCACCACTGCTGTGTATCCACTGTCAGACTCCCACTTTCTAATCCCAGGGATGGCTAAACACCAAACTTGCCTAGAAGTGACCTGCAGCTTTGGGCAGGTCCAAAACTTGGTGGGGGAAGGGACCCTTTCCCATAAGCCTCTGGAGTCCCCCGTCTCAGAGCTTGGACCCCTTAACAAGTTTCCAGCTTCCTGTCCACTTCCAATGAAGCCATTTATAAGGTCTTCGGTGATCTCAACTCCTGCCCTATTATTGGGAAAACCTGCAACCCTGAGGTGCGTGTCCAGAGGTGGGGGGTGGCTATTTCCCTCGCAGCCCTAAGGATCTGAAACCTTTCACCCAAACTTGAGGACCATTCAACAAACATTTGGTGCCTACTGTCTGCCCTGTGCTGGATATGAGGGCCGTGGAGGAGAAGAGGTCCAACTTGGCAGCTCCCACACCTCTCTCTTAACCCAGTGATGGCCAGTTCTTGCTTCTAGAACTTCTTTGCCTTCCACAAGCCCCTATCCTGACCCCTCTGGTCCTCATACTGATCTCTGCCACTCCTGTCCTGTCCGTGTGGCCAGCCAACTGACATATGACCCCACCCTGATCTCCAAAATAGCCTATGCTGCCTCACTGACACCCATTGAAGTCCATTCCACAATCCTGTAGTTTTGTTTCTAGAACCCCTTTTACAAGCCCCAATCTGGAACCCCCCACCCCTTGACTTAACTGATCCCTATGACTCCTGTCCCACCCTATGGCATTGCTGACCCAGACCTGCTGCCCACGGCCCACACTGACCCCTGGTCCCTATGTTGTTACTGGGCTCTGTGTCCCTCCCACAGACCTTCCCCTCCTCCAATGAATCCCGCCTGTGTCCTGGAGCCCACTGCCAGTTCGCCTTCTATGGCGGTGAGTCAGGTTACCACCGGGCCCTCCTGTGGCTGCAGATCTTCAATGTCTTCATGTTCTTCTGGCTGGCCAACTTTGTGCTGGCGCTAGGCCAGGTCACTCTAGCTGGAGCCTTTGCTTCCTACTACTGGGCCCTACGCAAGCCAGATGACCTACCTGCCTTCCCGCTCTTCTCTTCCTTCAGCCGGGCACTCAGGTGAGACCCCAGGTGGGCTGGTGGTGGGCATGAGATGGGGTGGAGGAGGCCTGGTCCAGCCACTGACCACGTGTTTGGCCTGCAGGTACCACACAGGCTCCCTGGCTTTTGGTGCCCTCATCCTGGCCATTGTACAGACCATCCGAGTGATACTGGAGTATTTGGATCAGCGCCTGAAAGGTGAGGCTCAAATGCTTGGGCTTTGGCCTTAAATTGGGGAGGCGGGACTGAGGGGCTAATCAGAATTGGTTCTTGCTTGGAGGTAAGGCTGAAGTGATGGGACAGTGGTTGGTTTCTAACTATGGGGGTTCCTGAAGGTCTTGGGTGATTGGTTCCTGCCATAGACATCCTACCAGGTAGGCTGAGAGCCTACTGGGTAAAGGATCTTAGCTCTGAGGGTACAGGGCCTGTACGCCTGAGCCACCATTGTTTCCTTAAGAGAGAGGGTTGGGCTAGGATTTGTTTGTTCTGAGGAGGGCAGGGCTGAACTACTTTCTTTGTAATAGAGGAGCTGTGGGGCTGGGATTAATCAAACTGTGGGAGCCTGTGAGGATTGGCATTTGCCTGGGAGGTCGGGCCAGAGCAGTGGTGTGGGTTCTGTTGGTTCCTGTCTCAGAGGCTGGGCTGAAAAGCTCCAGTGCAGAGTCCTTCATTGGAGGCGTCTCCCCAACTTGTCCTGGATCAAGGAGTCTCCTCTCCTTGTCTCTGAGAAGGTGGGCTCTGGGAGTCCTACAGTGTGGCAAGTGTGCATAATGTGAGGGAGTGTCCCCTCACCTTCGTATCCCTCCATTCTCTTCCAGCTGCAGACAATAAGTTTGCCAAGTTCCTCATGACCTGTCTCAAATGCTGCTTCTGGTGCCTGGAGAAGTTCATCAGATTCCTCAACAGGAATGCCTACATCATGGTTTGTAGGCCCGGGACCAAGAACCAACCCACTAGCTTCTACTGGGTGGGAGGAACCCTCACTCCCACCCAGGGGTTCTGATCCTTCCCTCCTGCCTGCCTCCAGATTGCCATCTATGGTACCAACTTCTGTACCTCAGCCAAGAATGCCTTCTTTCTGCTGATGAGAAACATCATCAGGTCAGAGAAAATGCCATCCTCTCGCCACCTCCCACCTTCCCCAGTCCCTGGGCCAATGTTCATACCTGCTCTTCACTCTCCCTTTCAGAGTGGCTGTCCTGGACAAAGTTACTGACTTCCTCTTCCTGTTGGGCAAACTTCTGATTGTGGGTAGTGTGGGTGAGTGCTATTTGCCCAGCCTGCCTGGCTGTGGGAACCTATTGGGCTGTGGGGTCCCCTTGTCTTCTGTAGTGGCTTGGAACTTTGTGGGGATTACTTCCTTTAGCCAAAACCCTCAACTGTCTTGGTTTTGTCCCCCTCTCCAGGGATCCTGGCTTTCTTCTTCTTCACCCACCGTATTAGGATCATACAAGACACAGCACCACCTCTCAATTATTACTGGGTCCCTATAATGGTATGGAACTCTGGGGATGGGCAGGTGTTGGGGGAGAAGGAGGTATTGAGATTCAGCTGGACAGATAGAGGTAGGGGTCAGAGGTAGGGGATTGGTTATTTATTGCTACAAACATTTACTAAGCACCTACTATGTACCACACATAGAAGACTTACAGTTTAGAGTGAGCAGACATTACTCAGTGATGATGTGGGTGGATACACAAGTGCAAACTGGTACATGCTGGAGGGCAGAATTCCAGGGAAATTTGGGGCCTGTATGGGAAGAGTTTTGCAGGTTGGGAGTGAAGGCAAGTTCACTGTGGAAGCGATATCAGACCTGAAGTCTGAAGGAGAAGCAGGCAACAACCAGGTACAGGGAACAGGTGCAGAGCCCTGAGGTGGGGTGTACCAGGCAGGAAACCTGTGAGGCTAGTGTGGAGGGAGATAAGGGCAGGGAGGTGACAGGTCCTGGAGGGGTTAGGTCGTCACCCCTAGGAAGCAGGAAATCTGAGTAAAGGCCTTGGAGCTCTATGGCCTAGATTTTTTTTTAAGATTTTATTTATTTATTTTTAGAGAGAGGGGAAGGGAAGGAGGGAGAGAGAAACATCAATATGTGGTTGCCTCATGTGGCCCCCACTGGGGACCTAGCCTGCAACCCAGGCATGTGCCCTGACTGGGAACTGACCTGGCAACCCTTTGGTTCGCAGCCCACGCTCAATCCACTGAGCTACACCAGCCAGGGCTCTAGATTTTTATCTTAGTCCTCTTTGCTAGTTCTTAAATATGTAACTTTGGGCAAGTTATTTAATTTCTCTTAAGATCCACTGGCTTCAGTCAATTAATGTTTTATCAGGTACCTACCAAGGCCTCGTGAGTCACCAAATTACTGGGGATGTTGGAGTGATCGAGAGAGACCCAGTCCAGTGGGGATGTGGGCATTACACCTGTAATGCCCTAAACATGCATAAAATTACAGCCAGAGGACGATCTCAGAGGACGGGTGCCCAGTACTAGGAGAGTATAAAATAGGTTCTAGATGTCAGAGGCAGCTTCTTGGAGGAGGTGGTACCTGAGGACTTGATGTTTAAGCTTAAAGTGAACAACGAGGAAGCAAAATGAACTAGGCTAAGTCAGGGCAACAGCATGTGCAAAGGCCCTGGGACTGAAGAGAGCAGAGACTGTCCTGTGGATGGTAGGGCCCTGCACACAGTGGGGGAGAAGTTCAGTTGGTTGTTATTCCAAGAAGGGCTTATCACCAAGAATGAACTGTGATTCCTCTTTGGGAGGGGCTGTGAGGGTGGGAGTTGTTCTGGGCAGCGGTTAGGAGGGAAACAGCTCCTGTCCCCTCCACAGACTGTGATCATCGGTTCCTACCTGATTGCCCAGGGCTTCTTCAGTGTCTACGGCATGTGTGTGGACACGCTCTTCCTCTGCTTCTGTGAGTGACCCCTCACCCCAACGCTTGCTGGGCCCTGACTCCCTTCTCCCCTCTGGGCAGAACATCTTCCCATGGGGCTACACGTTCACCTGCCTGATGCACCCAGCTTCCCAGGGACTGGCTGTCCCTGACCCTAGGGCCCTGGCATGCCCTCCCAGCTTCTTCCCTGCGCTCAGAGCTGCTCTGCCCTGTTGTCCCCTGGTTTAGGCTGCAGTTGGAAAGCTCTGCCCCTGGGCCCTTGGCTTCCGAGTTTCCAGCTTTGTTGGGAGGTATCTGTGGCTGCCACTAACTCTGGTCTCTCAATCTGTCTGTTTTTGTTTTCTCTTCTCTTCCTCTCCTCCACGCCTGCTGGCTTCCCTGTTCTTCCTTGCCTTCCTCTTCCCCTCCCTTCCTGACCACCCCATTTTCCCCCTGCCGGTGCCTGGGGGGAGCCCAGGTGAGGACCTGGAAAGGAATGACGGCTCTCAGGAGCGACCCTACTTCATGTCGCCTGAGCTGAGAGACATCCTGTTGAAGGGGAGTGCGGAGGAGGGGAAGCGGGCAGAAGTCGAGGAGTAGGAGGTGTAGAGAAGGAGGGAGGCCAGCGTGCGGCTTGGCAGGCCTTCTCGTTTCCTCCCTGTAGACGGGGGTGCATGCGGGGCTTCCTTGCCTGGGAGTGTGGGGAGCGTGTGTGTGTCCCATTCCCAAGCCCCCAGTAGTCTGCCCCTCTCCGGTCCCAGTGTGTCTTGCTTCCTAACCCTCTGAGGCTTCTGAGGCCCCTGCCCGCCCTGTCCCCAGAGGCTCCTGCCTGTGAGCCCCCCTCACGCCATCTGCTCTGGGGTCTCTCTGCAGTGGAGGACCTGGAGAGGAATGATGGCTCGGCCGAGAGGCCTTACTTCATGTCTTCCAATCTCAAGAAGCTTTTGAACAAGACCAACAAGAAGCTGGTGGAGTCTTAAAGGCCCCACCTTCCCTCACCTTCCTGTAAAGTCTCACACTGGGTGCTCTGCAGCTAGGTCGGAACTGCCAGCCCATTGGGCTGACCTGAAGTCCAGTCACTGCCACCCCCCGTCACCCAGTTACCACCAGTTTCTGGGGACCTGGAGGATTTGTGACATCTTTCTATGCCAAGGGTCAGTCAGACTTTTCATGGTGGCCTCCAAAAGACTGAGTGAAAACGAGTCAGTCCAGCCCTCAATGGCCTGGATGGGAAGAAGTCCCTTGAGGGCTCTTGATGTGTCTGGCACTCGATGGGATCCAACCTCCGTGGGCTGCCTCAGCCTTCCTGTTCCTCTTACGGTGGGATGGCGTTTGTGTCTGCAGGAGCTGTGGCCACAGTAAGCTGCAGCTCCTAAAGGCCCTGGTTCACGGTATCTGCTCAGTTAGGACTGAGCCCCTTCTCATAGCTGAACAACTGGCTCACAAGCCACCACATGCATTTCTTTATTATTTTTTTAACCTGGCTATGCATTAAAGGGTCTATTAGCTTTTTTTTTTTCCTGTCTGTCTCAGCAACTGAGACGGGGCCACTGAGGAGTGCCTTCTGTAGTGGGGTATGGTACGCGTGTGCAGCTCAAACATCATGTTATAGCTGCAGTGGGGTATGGTAGGCCTGAGTTTCCAGCTTTGTTGGGACGTATCTGTGGCTGCCTCTCCCAGGTGGGGGAGTCTTGTGGTCTGTGGGGGGAAGCAGCGCGCCCTGTTGAGGGGAGATAAGGGAGTGAGGCTGTTTGGTAGGCTGCTTTGAGCAGGAGGGAGGATACCTCTAATAGCAGCCTAATGGAAGCCTGCCGGCTGGCTGGAGGAGCTGGGCTGAATTTTCTCCCCGTCCTCTGCCAGTTATTGACACAGCTCTCTTTGTAAGAGAGAAAAGAAACTGAATCCACCCAAGGGACAATTTCAGGGGAAGGGGTGCAGGGCAGATGCCACGTGCCCACCGGGCCCCCCTGCCCAGTCACCTCATCTTGAGGATCCTTTTGCCAAATTTGTTGAACTCAGGACCTGGTTTCCTGGTTCCCCCTTCACTGTACCTGAAGGCCCCCGACTTCACGTCTTTGTTCCTCTGTACCGCCCCAGGACCTGGAGAGGGAGAAATCCCTGCCTGGGGTCTCCATGTCCTGTGCCTGTTGCCAGCCCTCCCTCCTCTGTCTGTCCACACACCCTTGCGTGTAACTGCATTCCAACCACTAATAAAAGTGCCTATTGTAACAGCGTCTGGGCCTTGAGTATTTGTGGGGGCAGTAGGAAGCTGGTAGGGAGAACCCTAGCTTTGGCTGCCCTGGGATTTTCTGAGCTGGGGTGACTGTGCCCAGGGAAAGTGAGGCCAGGAAGCCCTGTCTGCTGGCCCCTGTCTCTGACTGAATTCCACCCGACCTTGCAAGTGGCTCAGGTTTCTTCTGAACAAATATCCCTTATTAGGTTCTGGTGCCTAGCCTCCAGAGGTGGCCATGGGCTGTTCACCTCCTACTGTTCCTCCTCAGTCACATGGCTTGGGACACGTGGCCCCAGGCCTGCTTTGTCCCCTGGCCCAGGCACCCGAGCTGATTTGGACCCAAAAGCTGCACCCTGCCTGTCTGGAGGCTCACTGCTGCCCCCTGGTGCCAGCTGTCACTGTCACCTCTGGGTCAAGTACCCCACCACGTTTTAACTGCTTTTCTCCCATCCCACCCCATATCTACTTCCCTGAAATTTTCTCTTAAAATAGCCACTTTTTTTAGTGTATCTTAGGAGGTTCACTATCTGCATACCATACCTTACTTCTATTGCTCTCCCCATTAATTAAGGCAGAAAAGTTGAGTGACATGTCTAAATGTCACCCAGCCAGCAGGAAAGTGGCCCAGAAGGCATTTGAACCCAGGTCTCCTTCACCCCAAAGACCACACCCACTAACCTGCACTGATGCTCTCTGGGTTCCCTTGTTCACCTCCAGCCTTCAAGTATATTTTCTCCTTACCTTAGCTCCTATTAGCCCTGCCTCCAACATATTTCCTAAACCTGCCCACTTCTCAGATCTTCAGCTCCCAGCCTTCATTATCATTCACCTGGACCGGTACAGTCCCCCACCTTGGTCCCTAGGTCCCTCCATCATGCCCCTGCCTCCACTGTGTCTCCCACAGGTACAGAAGGGGACCTGTGAACAACTGAGTTCACTTACCCAGAGTGCAAGCCAGAAGTCCTCACTGCAGCCACCAGGCCCTGTCCAATCCACCCTAATGCTGCCCTCTGTCGGTTCATGCTGCTACTCGCTCCTCAGAGCTTGTGCCGGAAACACTCCCCACCTGGTCCTTGATTGGCTCGGTCCTCATCCTTCCACCTTCAGCTTAGGGGTCATCTCAGGGAGCCTTCTCTGCTCATCTAAAATGGGCCTTTCTTGGTGACAACTATGTCACCTTTATTTTTTCATGGCATTTGTCACAATCTGCAATCACTAATTTGTGTTTTCACTTACTAAGAGTGTGCCTTCTTATCCAGAATGTCAGCTCAAAGAGGAGCCAATTCTTGGCTCTTCTTTTTTTTTTTTTTAATTTTTTAAAATAAGATTTTATTCATCCATCTTGAGAGGGGAAGGGAAGGAGCGAGGGAGAGAAACAATGTATGGTTGCCTCTCGTGTGTCCCCCGTTGGAAACTGGCCTGCAACCTAGGCATGTGCCCTGACCGGGAATCAAACCACCATACTCTGGTTCACAGGCCTGCGCTCAATCCACTGAGCTACACCAGCCAGGGCTAATTCTTGCCTCTTCTTTACTACCTTTGTTTGGATTGACCAGTATTCATTTCTGTAGTTTGCAACTTTGAAAGGCCCAGATCCAGAATGATCCAAGATGAGGTCAGGCCTGAGGGAAGGGGACCACTGCCGTTTTAGAAAGGAGGCATGCAAGCACAGGTGTGCTCACCTGGTAGAGGCTGGCCAAACACTCAAAGTGGCCCAGACAACTAACAGGCACAAAAAAGACCATGCTGTGTGTTTCCAACTGTGACATTGGAGAACAGATAAAGCTAATCCTGGTGATGTAAGAAGAGATTTAGGGTTGGCTAGTAAGGGCAGGAGAAAACTTCCTGGGGTGATGACACCATTCCTTATTTTGATTTGAGTGGTACTCAGATGTATACTATAAAAATGTTTGCCAAGCTGTACACTTATGGTTGCATATATTATACTTCATTTTTGTAACTGAAAAAATTTAATTGTTCAAGTACAGTTTTCTGTCCTTTACTCCCATCCCAGCCCACCCCCCAGTGCTCCCCACCTCCCTCCCTTTTCCACCCCCCCTAATTTTTGTCCATGTGTCCTTTATACTTGTTCCTGTACACTAAATTTTTTTTTAAAGGGGGTTAAGGGATATGGGAAGTTCCCTTTTGGCTCATCTATCTGTGAGGCTGGACTGGCTTGGGCATCAGAAGCAGGTGTGGTGGGTGACCCATGCGTTCACTCCCTTGCTGTTTTGGGCACTCTAAGCCATGCATTCCGCATAGCGGAAATACAGGAGTGAATGAGAACCTGGTTCCCTGGTTTCCAAGTTTACCATCTAACAAGGGAGACAGTAACTAAATATATAATAGGTAGTGATAAACACTTTGAAGGACAATAAAGCAGGGTGATTGGATAGTGCTCTTTAAGAAATGGTGGTCAGGCCCTGGCTAGCGTGGCTCAGTTGGTTGGGACATCATCTCATGGACCGAAAGGTCACAGGTTCAATTCCCTGTCAGGGCACATGCCTAGGTTGTGGGTTTGGTCTCCAGTCGGGTTGTGCAAGAGGCAGCTGATTGATGTTTCTCTCCCTTTCTCTCTCCTTCGTTTCCCCTCTCTCTAAAGTCCATCAGGGAAAGGCAGGTCTCTGAGGAGCTGTGAGGAGCTGAGGACTGGGAGGAGGAGGGAGCTCTGCATAGGGAGGGAAGAATGCTTTAGGCAGAGGAACCGCCAGTACAAAGGTCCTGAGGTGATAAAGTGCTTGAGTAAATGATGGGAGTAAGTAGCTTTTTTAAAATTTTATTTTTAAAAAGGTTTTATTTATTTTAGTGAGGGAAAGGGAGGAAGAGAGAGAGAAACATCAATGTGTACTTGCCTCTCACACACCCCACACTAGGGACCTGGCCCACAACTCAGGCATGTGCCCTGACTGGGAATCTAACCGGCAACTCTTTGGTTTGCAGGCCTGCACTCACTCCACTGAGCCACACCAGCCAGGGCCCCATTTTTATTTTTAAAAATTGTAATAAAATACATATAAAATTTACCACCTTAACCATTCTTGAGTGTCCAGTTCAGTACGTACATTCACAATGTTGCGCAAACCATCACTACCACCCGGGTCCAGAACTCTTCCTCTTCCCCAATTGGAACTCTGTCCCCACTAAACAACTTATTATTCCCCCTCCTCCTGCCACCCACCATTCTCCCTGTCACTGTGCATTCGACTCCTTAGGGACTTCATGTACGTGGAATCCTATAGTTGTCTTTTAGTGACTGGCGTATTTCACTTTGCATATGCCTTCAAGGTTCATTCATGTTGTAGCATGTATCAGGCTTTCCTTCCTTTTTAAGGTTAAGTAATAACCCCATAGCATGAATACATATTGTTTATCCATTCAGCCTTTATGGGCACTTGAATTGTTTCCACGTTTTGTTTACTATGAATAAGGCTATGAACATGGGTGTGCAACTGTCTCCTCCAGACTCTTTCAATTGGTGAATCATATGGTCATTTTACATTTAATATTTTTGAGGAAATACATTTTCTCACTCCATCTGTTGGCTCGACTTTCTTCTGAGTTGGTTTCATTCTGTCAAGTTCTGTCATTAAGGTACAGGCCCCGTCCCCTAGCCACACCTTATATTCCCCTGGCTTCAAGATCAGAGAATGAGGGCTTCTCCTGCTCCACAGTCCCAGGACCTGGTGCTCACGGGCTCTGATTGCCCCAATTTTGTCATTTACTACTAAGCTAATTACTGTGGCCAGGTAATGGGCCTAATTTTGGAGTCAGGCTGTGGGGATCTGGTTAACGAACTACCGATTGGGAAAGGTAGAGGGGCGGTTCCCCATTAGCACTGTGGTCAGCCCGTGTCCACTCTACTGAGATGGTGGGAAGGTAGCTCGTAGGGTTCAAAGCTTTCAAGGGGAGTTCTTGGGTGTAATCAGGGGAGTCGGCAGAAATCTGTGAAGATGAGGAAGACAAGTGGATGATGTTCATGAGGACATTCAAGTCTTGAGGACAGCAGAACCTGTTTAGATAGAGGGAGTGCAAGAGGGGGACAGACCTTAATCCTCAACCAGTGAGGGGGAGGGTATAATGGGGAGAAGGGTATAGCCAGGTATCAGGGGGTGTCAGTGAAGGCAAAGAAGTGAGAGGATAGTTACGTGTATAGGGAACTGTTGTAGTGGAAAAGCTAAGGTAAGAGGCTGGGTTAGGGTAGAGATACAGTGAGAGAGGGCAAATGGCTTCTGGGGTCTCCATCTTGTATAACAACCAAAAGACACCACAGACAAGGAGCGTGATAGATGTAGCACGTCAGGTTTGGCTGAAAATCTCTTATCCAGTAGTTCCTGGTGGGCGGGAGTAGTTGTGGGCCCAGATAGATTACAATTGTAAGGGAGTTTTGGTTTCCTCCACACTTTCACCGCAGCCTAAAGGATCTTCTCAATTAAAAACCTCAGGTTGCACAGGGCACAAACCCAGTATTTTAACAACCACAACATTAACTGTTTCTGCAGCACTCATTCCAGGTTGGCTACTCCAGCAAAACTTTGAGGTTGAAAAACACTGCAGATCCCTTCAGGGCTCCTCTGTGGAAGTTGCTGTTGGAAATCAGGATCTTATCTGCCCCTTTCTTCACTTGGGGTCCCTTTTATAGGGGTTTCCCTTGCTCAAATGCAAGTTTTTTAGAAATGTAACCTTTGCCCCTTCCCAAGAAAGGTCTACAGACTTGGGGTCAGGAAACAAGAAACCTTCCCTCTTCTACCACGTGGTAGCGCTGTTAGCTTAATCAAGTTGCTTTGCTGCTTAGCCTGTTCTGCTAGTGTCAAGACACTACTGATCTCTAGTGTTCAAGTTTGTTACCACTTTTACTATCAGTAACCTGAAACAATCTAAACTTAATTGTCTGAATACATGCTATGAGCTTTACAAAACTTTTAATTTCAAGCTCTATTTGTTACAGAAATATCTTTAAGTTGGGGTGGGGGAGATGGATACTGTATCATTTATGAGAAAAACAGCAATAAAAATACAATTAAGCATCGTTGGGAGTAAAGTATCTCTGTAGAGACACAAGAGAACTTTACAATGACTGCCTAGGAAGAGGTTGGCAGGGTAGGAAGACTGACTTTGCCCCCTCACACCTTTTTGTACATCTGCCATTTATATTATGTGAATAGGTTATTGCTTCACAATCTTAAGTGTAAATAAAAAGCAGTAGGTATAGCATTCGCCCCACCCCTGCAACAGTATTTTTACACTCTTACCTTTTTAATTACTTTGGGGCATTTGTTCTGAAGAAAAACTGTGCCAAGTGCTTTTTTTATATTAATTTTTTAATAAATGAGTTTTCTTAATTAAAAATTTTATTTATTCACTTAGAGAGTGGGAGGGAAAGAGGAGAGGGTGAGAAACATCAATGTGTGGTTGCCTCTCACATGGCTCTCCTCCACTGGGAACCTGGCTCGCAACCCAGGCATGGGCTCTGACTGGTAATCAAACTGGCCACCCTTTGGTTCCCAGCCCGAGCTCAAACCACTGAACTATACCAGCCAGATACATTAATTTTTTTATTGTTGTTCAAGTACAGTTGTCTCTATTCCCGCCCCATCAAATGCTTATATATATTCACCATTTGTAGATAAGGGAACGGAGGCTCAGTGTCTGGTTACACCAGAGGACTCAAACCTAGGGTAGCCACTGGATCCTGCAATCTTTATAAATCAGCTGTAACGTCCCTACATTTTTGCAAGACCCGTATTAAGCGGCAAGTCTTGAACAACTTCTCATCTCCTTCGAGAAGAAAACTTTTTCAACAACTCCTTGCTCCAAATCTCCGAAGACTCCGAACCCCAGCCTCGCATCTGTCAACCTGCCTAGCAACGAATTCTGTACAGTCCCAGCCTGATTCTGACCCTGGAGGGGTACAGAGCTTACTTTAGATACATATTGTACACCAGGGACCTCACAAAGCAACAGCGAGGATTCCAAACACGAGGCTTCTAAAATAAAATAGTGCTCGGTCCTAGGGCCTTTATTTGAGACCAACGACGTTGGCCAAGTATCGCAGCACCAGTTCTCCCGTGAATGGACCGTGAATCCCCAAGACAGGTCATTTTCTCCATCTGTGAAACAAGGGCTGAAAAATCCGACCAGTTCGGTTTTGCACTTCGGCGCCTCCGGCACTGCCATCTGGAACAATCACCTCTGGTCTTCTTCGCCTTTCGTTGAGATTGCAGGGAGTGGATTCGGTGGGGCGGCTTCCTTCTGAGGCAGGGGCGGGAAAATCCACAGAGACCCCGCTACTTTAAGGTTAACTGGCCAGATTCTCCGAGGCATTTCCACTAACGCGCTCAAACAGACGGGAGTAAGATGGGTGCAACGCCGACGCCTCAGCGAGAATCCGCCCCTCGGCCTGCGTCACGTGGAAAGGTTCGAAACCGTCCTTAAAAAAAAAAAAAAAAGAGCGTTGACGTTGTCACGTGATGCAGGTCACCAACACAGCAAAGGGAAAGCGAAAGGTCCTTGTCACGTGGCCGAGGACTCTGAATTTGCCACTACCACGTGATCAAGCAGTGGCGTTGAAAAGGGGAGGGAACCGCCCGACATCACGTGACGAGCACGCAACGGAGATGCTTTGGTCACGTGACTAGAGCCCTCCTCCCTCTCTTTTCGTCCCTCCTCCCTCAAACCTGAACTTGCGTCGAGCGGCTACGCGGTGGCGAGGGGGCGGGGCCCTGGGTCACGTGGCTCCGCACCTCCCCGGCGCGCGCCCGCCCGCCTGCTCGCCCCCGGCTCCTCCTCCTCTTCTCGCCATTGCAGTTGGACTCAGCAACCCGGTACGCACCGCGTGGCTTTTGGGGGGAGACCCCGGCGGGTTGTGACAGGAGGTCAGCGGCGGTCGCGATCGGGGAAGGGGACGCCGGCAAGGTAAAGGTAAGCTCCAATGTGGCGGCGGTGGAGCCCGCTCCCGCCTCTACCCCCCTCCCCCCGGCTCGCCCTCCCACTCAACGCTGCCCCGGTTTTGGAGTCACAGTGACAAGACCGGAGGCACCCCGCGCTGTCGGCCTCTGCCTAGTCCTATTGCCTTAACGCCTGCCTTATTTCTCCCTCGTCAGCCGTGCTCCCGCGCTTGGCCGTTACTCTCCCCCATTGTGCCGAGGAAACAAAATGGCGGCGTCGGCGGCGAGGGCCCGGTGCGCGCGCATCCGTCCTCCCCCCCTTCACGGCCCCTCGATCGGCGGCAGCGCCTCGCAAGGGGGGTGCGCGCTCACCGGCTCCGGGCCGCTGCTTGCCCCGGGCCGGGCTTTTGTCTGTTGCGGCGCCCCGCATGCGCGCGCGCACGTGCTGAGAACACACCCCCCCCTCTGGTCTGGAGCGTCCTGGCCCGCGCAGCCAGAGCGACCCTCCTTCTCCTCTTTGTCCCGCTCCTGCCCCTGGTTGCAGGAGGGTTCCAGGTTCCAGGGGCGGGAAACGTGGCCTCCTTTGTCCTTACATGGCGCGGAGAGGACGACCCCCCTCCCCGGAATCTCATCCAGACCCGGATTACAGAGGAATTTCATGGGTTTCCCATATCCCTGGCCAACCAGGCCTCCCCCATATCAGGATCCAAACTTCGGGGAGGATTTAAGATTTCCCTTTTTTAGTCCAGGTGTTTCATTGGTGTTGAATTTTCCTAGATTGCTTAGAGATTTTCATTCTTCCCCAAATGATCATCTGCTGTGATGGTTGGGTGCATTGTAATGTGCAAATTTGGGACCCAAACGTGAGTGCTAAAAATCCCTTTCTGCCTTATTTCCTCAAATAGTAGAATGACTGAGTTCTTGGGGTAGCTCTTGATGTTCTGCCCGGGTTAATCCTCCTCCTGGATGAATTATCTGGGATGCACAAGGAACAGCGTGGTCTCCACCAGCTCAATGCCAAAACTTGGTGAGAGTAAGCCATTTCTTCTAAATTTCGAAATTGATTGAAAGTTGCTTGGGTTTCTGCTTAGGGGAACGTGATGGATCAGCAAGAAAGCATCAGTTTCTGAGATAAGCCTCCTTTTTCTGGACTCACGTATTTCAGATTGTGAATTTATGTTTCTGATAGCTTAGGATTCTGTCCTCTTTACAGTGAATGGTCTGGTGGCATATTTGGGTTCCATGGGGAAATACAAGGTGCCTCCCAAAGTTGAGACTCAAATTTACTACTTTAGGCTCTCTTTTCCTCAGGTGTCGGTGGTTGGGAGTCTCCACAGATTGCTCACAGTGCTGCCGCTAATGCTTTGTGTGCGATGTTTGTGGGATGTGTGGGATGCTTGTGGAATGTGTGGGATGTAGGGACAGCAGCTGCTCAGGCTGTGAATGAAGTGTGGGAACCAAGGAGCTCATTCACAGCTGGCTAAAGGCTCTAGGGAAGGGACAGGTGCTACTATCCCTAGTCCTAGGGTCTTTGCCCCTGAGCTGTTTCTCTGCCACATGGGCCCCTCCTGGTGCCTGTAGTTTGGGAATGGAATCTGCTGGCCTTAGTGTTGTCTATAGCTTATTGGTGGCTGGCAATTACTGCTAAGCTTGGCCTTGCCGGCACTGGACACTTGATTTATCAGAGTCTCCTTATCCTCCAGGAGCTTGGGCAAATCATCTTTCTGGAGTGGAGTGGAGTGGAGCCTAATGGGCAGTTTTGTTTTTTCTTGATTTGAACTCATTTAAAAAAACGAGTTCCTCCCCTGGCTCGTGTAGCTCAGTGGATTGAGCGTGGGCCTGCGAACCAGAGGATTGTGGTGCGATTCCCAATCAGGGCACGTGCCCAGGTTGCAGACCAACAGTTCCCAGCAGGGGACACAGGAGAGACAACTATACATTGATATTTCTTTCCCTTTCTCCTTCCCTTTTCCTCCAAAGATAAATAAATAAAATCTTTTTTAAAGAGTTCCTTTAGTATACTTAAGAGTGTTTTTTTTTAAGACCCATATTCCTTGGAGTGAGGGATCAAAGGCTGTTGTAATGTTTTAAAAATTTCTTCCTGTCAAAAAAACCACATTGGCAAGAGTGGCTAGTATTCTGATGGCACATATATGGTGCTCATTTTCATTTCATTCTCCCCTGGTTAAGTTCTCTAGGAAGAGACAGGTGGAGTCGAGAGAAAAGAGCCGCCTTCTATGAGTATATGAGCCACTTTTCTTTGGGTGAACACTTGGTGGTACCTTGTCTGTCTTTAGGCTTCAGCCAGATAGAGAGGTTGGGAATGTTCTCATTTCTAGAAAAAGCTAGGGGTTTTTTAGGCTGGTCATCTCCCTCTTAATTACCTCTCTCTCTCCTCCCCAGTTCCTCCTAATTCCACCTTTTACAGCTCAGAGAAATTATTCCTTTCCCCAAGAAACTTGGGTGTATACCTCCTTGAGGTTCACCTGCTACATCTTTGTTGGTTTATTAATCTTGTACAGTTTTGAAAGATGTATAAATGTCACCATCGGATATTAGCATATATATGGCCCACAAAGTGGTGACTTTTTTTCAAATCATGCTTTGAACCTTCTCAGAAATTAGAATTTTTTTAGGCTTTCTGTATTGGGTGCTTTTTATTTTAGCAAAGTCCTAGGACAGGAAAGTTTGGTTTTTGTTTCCAGGGGAAGGGTTTGGAATTAGAGCCAGATGGTGGTCTGACACAGTTTGTTAGTGAACTGTGTCAGGGCCCTTGAAGGGCTGAGGTTGACTTGAGTTTTCTGCTGTAGCATTTGACAGTTTCATCTGAAAAGGCTATCTTCCCTCTCTACTTTGCTATTTAGGGTAAGTTGGTGCTATCTGTTTGTGATGCTGGCAGCATAGAAATAATAGTGAAAACTGGGTGGACAGGTGTTTGTTAGGGAGCTTGTCAGTATACTGATTTTTAAAAATTGCATCTTCTCATATTTGTGTTCTGTTAAACCCTTGAGATTTTTTTCAAGACTGAACATTATAGGTGATTCCATTAGAAATTGCAGTTGGAAACTCAGACTTTAAGATACCTGTTTTCAAGATGTGTTACGAAAGCGATGTCCATTTGAAATTTTTTTCTCTTCTTGAATGTCCATATAATGAAGAAATTAAAAATGTACACTGAGCTGCACCAGCCAGGGCAAAAATACAGCCACCAGTTTTAACAGGAGAATGAGTTTACTATCTAAGGGCCTTTGCGGGGGGGGGGGGGGGGTTGGACCATACATGATCACCAAGGATCGTTTAGTAAAAGGTAAAATATGCATCCTTTTATTAGACTATGTAAACTGGATCCATATTTTTACGCTCTTAGATGATTAGTGAGAAACAGTGCTGTTGGCAATTTGAGGTCCATGGTAAATTTTTTCTAATCCTCACGGAAGGATGTGTTTATTGATTTTTACAGAGAGCGAAATTTAATATGAGAAATACTGATTGGCTGCCTCCCACATAGGCCCCAACCAGAAATCAAACCTATCACCTTTTTGTGAATGGGACAATGCTTAAACCAACTGAGCCACCTCGCCAGGGCAGGTCCGTGATAATTTTTATTTAACATTCCAAGCAGCCTGCCTTCTTATTTTCAGTAGGATTGTGGTTCAAAACCAAGGGTGGTAAGGTTTTATTGGGATGATCATCCAGGCCACTTGTTTTTGTTACTTGCCTTTCAACTACTTTTATACTGAGTGTGTTAATAAATTTCAACAACATGGAAAGAACCAGGCCAGCCCCATGGCTCATAGTGGCACCTAATAAATATTTGTCCTGTGGGTGACCTGTGCAGAATGCTTGCAGGAGGGGAATATAGGTGCCCAATAAACAGAATTGTGGGCTTCTCAGTGAGAGCTCACCAGTGACCACAGCCTCACAGAGCAGATGTGTGAACTGACGAGTGGAGAAAAGGTGAACTGAGTCAATTGTGGTGAAGTTACTTGAGATTTTTTTTTTTTAAATGTAAGGCTTCAGCTCTGGAAAAACACTTAAGCAGTTTTTCACAAAACTAACGCAACTGCCATATGACCCAGCAATTTATAACTTTTGTGCATTTATCCCAAAGAAATGAATATATATATTCACACAAAAACTAATGCACAAGTGTTCTTAGCAACTTTATTTGTAATAGCCGACCCAGAAACCACCCAGATGTTCTCAAGCTGGTGAATGGTTAAACACAAGAAACTATATTCATACCATGGGATACTATTTAGCAATAAAAAAGAACCAATTGTTGATACATACACAACTTGGGTGAATCTTGAGGCAGTCATGCTGCATGAAACAAGCCAGTCCTGAAAGGTTACATACTCTGCAATTCCATTTATATAACATTCTTGGAGCATGAAAATTGTAGAAATGGTAAATGGATTAGTGGTGGTTAGGGGTTAGGCATGGGGGACAGTTGGAAGGTGAATGTGACTATGCAGGGCAATAGGAGAGATCTTTGTGACAGCAGTGGTCTGTATCTATTTTATTACTTTGTTTGCAAAAATGTTACCATTGGGGGAAACTGGCTTAAAGAGTACATTTGATCTCTGTTATTTCTTACAATTGCAGGTGAAGCTAGTTGTCTAAAAATGAACAATTTGCATTAAAAAAATTTTCCTTGCCCCCTAAAATAATTCACATTTGAATGTTAATGTCCTTGAGAGAAAAATCTTTTTCTTCTTAATTAGGGGGAAAATCATTTTTGGGAGAAGTAAAATTAAGTTGCATCCTACTTTTTAAAAAGTCTTCTAAGACTTCCCCCCTGGGGATAGATTGGTGGGTTGCCCCTGCCTCTTACAAGGTGGGGACAATTTCCTGTGCTGGCTTCTCTCACCTGCTTGCTGCCAGAAGAACATGTTGGAAAGAGAGTTTGATAATTCCCACTTGGAGTTATGTTAAATCTTCTGCTATGATATTATATCCTCTCACAGGCGGATTTTAAATTTTTTATTTTTTTATTTTTAGAGAGGGGAAGGGTGGGAGAGACAAAAAAAA